GTATTGCCACGACTGTAAAGGACGGTGAACTTATTAAAATGCAACAAACCACTAAATAATATGATTTTTGGTATGTGTAATATTTAGGTAATGTAAGTAATTAAAAGTAATGTATAATATCTTGATAAACATTTTCACTGTCAAAGTTTCCGGATATGATGTCATTATGTGAATTGCAAATTAGTTTTCTTGTGTTTCTTGTACCAAAAATTTATCTCATCACTTCATATCTGGAACTTTGACAGTGAAAACGTTGATCAAGAGCTGTTGGGAAGGGTGCGTGCTGGGGAGCGCTTGGCAGTTCTTGTATACTGTCATGGCGAGTTTTAATACCAAACGTTACCATATCGTCATATACTCTGGGTGTAAAACCTTATTTTCTGACGGAGTATGGTCCAATACCACGATACGACACGGATCGTGGATTTGGTAACTACATTGTGCAGATGGTGAATTGGTTCACTGATGGTGAATTGGTTTCACGATCCGTAAACCACTGTTGGAGGTGAAGATGCACAGCTTGAGGTTTTTTACCATGTGTTACGGATCGTGAGGTACATTTACGATCTGTGTCATATAGTGATTGTTTGACCATGTGTTACGGATCGTGAAGTATATTCACGATCTGTGTTGCATCGTGATTGTTTCACACTTTCACCATGTGTTACGGATCGTGAACTATATATTCACGATCCGTGGCCCATCGTGATATTGGACATACATGTATGTTCTGACGAAGAGTCGAGTTGAACGCCGTTGGCAAATAATAATAAATTTGTAGATGTTTGATGATATACAAAATGCGCGATTATGAGTAAATTACATGGCAAGTTAACCGTGCGAATATTTCGAATATGTCATTCGGTATTACATGGAGAATAATAGAATGCTATCAGTTACTTAGTGTAAAACAGTAACAGAGAAATGATTAGAAAGTCATATAATTGCATTGCATGCATCAATAACTTCTTTGGCTGAAGGCTCGATCAGTCGATTACAATGCCAATGGCAAATTAATCGTAAACGACAACGAAATATCACAACTTGCAAGAAATCGTACAAAGTTGCAAGAAATCGACCAAGAACTGCCATGCGTTTCGCATTTCAAGTGCACTCTTCCCATCAGCCCCTTCGCCATCTCTCCCCACTACAATACTTCATCTAAACTCGTCATATGCGCATCTTTACTGTTTTTTTACAAAGAGACGCCTGGGTACTAGGCAGTACTAAGCTTATATACAATTTTACTGAATTTTATTTTATGGCCAGAATTGGAGTACAACATGGCTGCCAAGTATATGCTCATTTTGCCTCAAGATAAAAATTCAAAAAAACTTCGTATGTACTTTGAATGTGAATAATGTAAAATTGGCGTTTTTGATGACTTACGGTTGACAAATCCTGAAACTTCACCGACTTTGTCAAACTTTTATCCGTAAATTTAGTATAACGCGAGTTGTCGACGCATGTTCCCAAGTAATCGATATCTTTGCCTAATCTCTTTAAAGGAAAGGAATCTATTTCGATATATTAGTTATTTTACAGGTCCAATTTCAACTTGTTCTACGCAGATATCGCCAATTGCTGAATTGCTTTGAAGCTAGCCTACACTATTCCTATCTTAAAAAATGTTCCTATCTACAGTATTCTTATCAAACTTACGAAGCGTAAAAGTATACACGATTATGTTCATCAAAGCGATGAATTGCATTTATTTTGTAGAGAGGCGTTTGTCCTATTGTGATGAGAAATGCATCACATTTTGGCCAAAAAATTAAATTTCCAAAAAGAACATATTAAAATTAGTAGAATTGCAAAATTTGGTCACAAAAAGTTGTAAAATACGTAAAAATAGCTTTGCGAAGTTTACCTATTTTGTATATAGTTGTATTACGTACGGAAATTGTTATACAATTTCCGCACTTAATACAAACATATACAGAATTTTATATACATTTCGAAGGCTATATTGTCCAAGCTTTACAACATTTCGCAACCAAATTTTACTAATTTTATTATGTTCTTTTTAGCTGTAGTGTTTGATCCCCTTCTCTTTACTTAAATTATTTAGTCTAATTAACATGAAAGTTGTCCATTCCTGTCCTTCATTTCTGGAGATGCCTATTATTTCTTACTTTTACGTACGGAACACCAATGACCGACATAGAAATGTATTTACTTTAGAATGCAAAGAACCGGTAAGCCTTGGTATGGAAAATGGTGACATACCTGACTCCCAAATATTAGCTTCATCAGAATGGGATGCGAACCATGGAGCAGTTAACTCAAGACTGAACTTCCGGGCTCAAGGCAAACGTCAAGGCGCTTGGTCTGCAAGACGTAATGATCTCAACCAATGGCTTCAAGTGAATTTCGTACTTCAGGCTACTGTAACTGAGATCTTAACGCAAGGTCGCAGTAATGCGGACCAATGGGTGACGAGTTATACTGTATCATACAGCAACGATGGTCTGAATTTCTTTGCTTATCGCGTGAATGGAGTGGTTAAGGTATGAAGTAATAAAAATTGATTCCTCGAGATTATACAGTATATACCTTTACGCCCAGTGCGTGAGCATGCATGCTGCGTATATACGGACGGAAATGTTAAATAAGGATTCGAGTTCGGATCACGCGCGTTTCACGAGAAGAAAAACAGCCATTTCACCTTTCACAGTTAACCGTTGAAATTAAAAATCACGTTTTAAGCTGTGCAAATTTTTGTTCCAATTTCTAGTAGGATTTTCTTCTTCTAATGCATGAGTTCATTAATTTTATATAAAAAGTAATCCGAAATACGGAATATTATTGATGAATACCAGTGCAGGATCAAACAATCTTGCACGAAAAACTTTTAAAATGCTTTCGCGCGGGCTTTTCAAAATGTTGGACAATGGAAACGTTGTGACATGTGAAGTTAACAATACATTTAACAAGACACAAGCAGGGCCGTCCCCAGAAAATTTTTCAGGGGGGTATAAGGTCATTTTAACCGACTGACGAACAATAAGCTTGTACCGACCACCTGGTAGCCATGGAAGCTTGTGGAATTTCCGATGGAGGTCACAATACGGAGCCATTTTTGGATTAAGGGGCTATAGCGAACGTCGAAGGCGTGAGTTTGTCAGGGGGTTCGGGGGAATGCTCCCTTGGGAAATTTTGAAATATGAGACCTCCCAGAGCCCCGGAAATGCAATCAAATTTACTAGTTGCTGTTAAATAATAATATATAGACGACTCCTAGGCACCAGTTACAAGATACCGGATTCGCATCGGAGCGACATCAAATTTTACTCAAGGGGAATTTGGGACTTAAAATTCTGATAATATAACATAATTAAACAAAAACTTCATATATGAAAAGTTGAGTGGAACACACCTTAAATTGATGTCGCTGCAATACGAATCCGATATCGTGTAACTAGGGCCTTAATCTAACATTACCCGTCATTTGTTTAATTCAACGAGAAATAGATTGAATACGGCTTATACTAATAAGTACTAATAAGTTATAAATATATCGTTAACTGATCTGAAAGATTTCAGTATTCTTAGTTTATAAAAATTACATATGTATGGGAATTGTTGCCCCCTCCACCTGCTCCGCGGTCCCTGAAGTATACGCCTGTTGTGCTCTAAATAATCTATTAACTAAGTGTCTATTAGACAGATTTAGGTCGAGGACGCGGACGTCAAAGACGACGTGGAAATGGCATGTTGTGCCCATGTATTGATATGCCACACCATTTTGACGCCATTTTCACGTCGTCTTTGACGCCCGCGTCCTCGATATAAATCTGTCTAAAGCCTGTTCTAAATCGCCATATTTGATAACTGAGTTTTTGGCAGCAATATATTGTGTTCAACGGTTCTACCTATCAAACATGCTATATATACTTTGTATCGCTATGTGGTTTGACTGTCAATCTGGGCTTGTTTTACTAACCGATTATAATGATTATCCTGGTGAGTAAATTTCGAGTAACCAAAATTTCGGTTTCTTATATAACAGGTGAAAATATAACAGGTGAAAATCATATCGGTAGTAGTTTTATTCCTCAAAAATATTTTTGTCTGCCGACTGAAATAGCAGTCCTGCCGACTGAAGCTTGGAATAGAATTTCTGGGGGTGTCACCCCCGCTCCGGCCCTGGACACAAGCAAACAAAAACAGCGAACGAATGTTTACACTGGCTACAGAAAATAAAGTTGAGAAATTGGTCTCAAATTCCCGAGGACAAAGCACAAAAATTTATTAAACAATTTCACTGCGCTCTGAAAATTTTTAAAGATAAACAGTAGTTAATTTAATAGAATTTTCGATTGACAAACATTCAAAGTAGTAGACCAAATTTATGAACAAATAGATATCAGTAATATTATACACAAATGGTTGTCCGGTTGAAAATCTTTAGACCAATTCAATGTCAAGTATATACAAAAACAAAAACTACTCTCACTTCGCAATAGCCATTCAGATCGAGAATCTTACAAACTTCGGCTCAATGTTTAGTGGTTGTTCTGTTTAGTGTTAATTTCCATATGCAGCAGTGATCGAACTAGAACTGCTATTTTATTATATTACGTTTAATCGTGTTACACGTAAGGCATCTCTGTAGGCTACATATCGTTGTTGTTTTGATTTTTTGAAGCCGTTCAGAACATTCGTGGTGGGTAGTCCACTTATAGTCTCTCTGATCAGTGTTTGCTAGTTCACGACGCGAAAAACATTCCATCAATAATTTTAATACACTTAACCGTTATATCACTGTAGTTATTTTATAAAGCAATTACCAAATGGTTTTCCGTGCGGATAGCGTTATCCATGTTCTTGGGACGTTGCGAGACATTCGGAAAGCATCAAAACAACTCGTCTGTCGCCCGTGTCTTTTTACACTTTCCGAAAGTGTCGCAACATCTTGCGTGCATGGACGACGACGCTATCCTGCCCGGAAAACCATTGGGTATTACTTTAATGAATGTTCTGAGTACTATATGTTTCGTTGAAATTAGTTACTGAAGAGAAAATCGAACTTAAAATCGCAGCAAATTTAACTGGACTACCAATATGTTCTTTCCACCATACGTATTTATCATTGAATTTGTCTAACATGCGAGTAGCGAGTAACAGCACAGGAACCCCAGGTTATATAGTTGTTTATATTTTAGTCCGCATAGCATTGCGCCGCCCGCGTCGGCTCTCCTGCTCTTGGGTTTACTTTTAAAAATAGAAGGAAGGACATAGCGCCAAAAACTTTCCTCGATATTTCGATTTAAATGCATTTCAGGTCCAATTTAATCGATATTCCCGGCAAGAATGATAACATAAAGTACAATACTCAAAACAACGATGCTTTAAATCAAAGAGCTTAAAGGGTATGGGCAATGAAAATTGCTTCATCTATCTTATTGCTTCGTCTGAAAGAGCATGAAAAAGTAAGCCGATTGGCCGTTTAATGCTCTATTCTATCTCATCTAGTTCCGAAGTTATACGCAAAAATGTGCAAAATATAAATTGCTGATTCAGCACAATGTGTGACGTCATTAGCGGGGTAAGTATGTATTGAATACTACACTGAAGCATAGCTCAGTTATTATGGGCCCAAATCAAATGAAATTTTGGACACTGATTGTACATGCTGAGACGCATGGAAAAACACTTCTAATTTTGTTGCCAAGGTAACAATGTCGTTCCCAGGCCCCTTGCACTACCCCGCTTATGACGTCACACATTGTGCTGAATCAGCAATTTATATTTTGCACATTTTTGCGTATAACTTCGGAACCAGATGAGATAGAATAGAGCAGTAAACGGCCAATCGGCTTATTTTTCATGCTCTTTCAGATGAAGCAATAAGATAGATGAAGCAATTTTCATTGCCCATACCCTTTAAATTCGCTTCAACATCCACGAAGGAATGACAAAATTTGCCCAAAATACATCCGAGGTAATTTGGCCCTGTGCAATAAATAGGAAGTCATTAAGCCACTAAAGCCAACTCGAACCTGCGTGGACAATAAATTGACAAGCATATTCAAATGTTTTCTTCACTGTCCAATCGGGTTGGAGTTGGCTTTAGTGGATTAACGACTTCCTGTTTACTGCACAGCAGTGACAGCAGGTACATGCCTCGGATGTATTTTGGTCGAATTTGTCGTTCCTTCACGGATTTCGAAGCGAATTTAAGCTCTATGTTATCATTCTTGTCGGGGATATCGATTAAATTCGAACTGAAATGCATTTCAAGTCGAAAAATCCAGGAGAATTATTGTAGCCGCGTGCTAGTCTGACCTATTTTGGGCGCTATGTGTCCTAATTCCTTCTATTTTTAACAGAGGCGTACCAGGGCGACCCACCCTGGTAAAATTTTGAGGCCCCCTGAGAAAATCCATTCTATAAAAGTAAGTGAAGCCTGGCCCCTGCACTTAGGTTTTTACTGCCACCACCCAAACACACACACACCCTTCCGACCAGGAATCCTGGCGACGCCCCTGATTTTTAATATCAACCCCCAAAAAATAGGCGTGTCGGCGCGGGCGGCCCAATGCTACCCGGGTTAAAAATATAAACAACTACTGATATAACCTGGGGTTCTGTGCTGTGACTCGTAGACTCGCAACTCACAATATAGTTGACCTCTTTATCAAATATGATTGTCAGACTTTTTGTGGACTTAAATAGATATTTTATTAAAAATTCATATCGCAGCCAAAGAGCTGAATTACGTCTAAGATTAAAAATCGAATTTAGAAATGTACAATTAAGCACTTATACCAATAAAAAAGACGAATAACATTTTTAAATACTTCGTACTATGTACAATTAAAGTTAAATAGTTTAACCGACGAATGATTAGAAGTATTGAAATACCTGTTAGTGCGATTTCTAATCGACTAGTCCGTTTCGAAAGCTTGGAATTCTTCTATATGATCCAATAATCATCGGTTTTATATTAAGTGTTGATTTATTCGCTGTGAACTAATCATGAACATTTTCGAGTTCAGCAAATTATAGTCTTACTTCGATATCTCTTGCCATGATCAGTTCGCCAGACACCGATAAATTTTTATCGTATATCAGCATACATAGCTGATATAGATGTTTTTAAGAAGGCTCCCCACAGTTATTAGTAGAATTTGAAGTTGATTTAGTCGGACGTGATTTTCGCGTCGTGGTCTTTTTGACAGAAGCCGGTGAAATAATTTTTGAGTGATTATCTTGAGAAAGACGACACCAGTATGTTCAATCGTACGTAGTTGATATTAAAACGTAGCCTACGTATGTTGTTAACAAGTTTTTAAACTATTGTTAGTAGTATGTTTTTATCTTTTAACATTCAGTAATGTTCAAAATCTTCGACTTGTCGAAAATCAAAACTACAGTGAATTTATAGTGAAATATAAATATTACTGTAGGCGCAGCGATTTAATTTTTGTTTAATACTGGACTACAAATAATTATGTCACTGAAATATTTATTTTTGTAACAGTTAATATCAAACTTACTAGGTCTTGTATCGTCTAGTGTTTCAATCAGTTTCATTTCATATAAAAGTTGATCCTCCTTTAAAAAATTTTAATTGTCGTGAAAAGTTTTACGGGCTTTTATTCTGATTTTCACAACAACTCAACAAGTGCAAATTTTTCCGTTCTTATCGTTTCAGATATACTGTATTTTCTGTTTTCAATAATCTCAAACAAATCAAAAATATTATAGAAGCCAAAATGAAAACAAATATGGAAAGTGAAAATATTAGTTCCACGCTTGGGATTACTCTCGCGGAAAATTAAAATCCTGATTTTTCTGACGTCCTACACTCAGTAAAAATAACTTTATTTTCTCGTGTTTCCTTCAGTAAAAACTATTTAAACTTTGTACGCTGTACAGCGATCATATACAATGCATATAATATGCGAGTTTAAATAAATCGTAGCTGCCGATTTTTTGATTTTTAAAACACGGCTTTTCATAAATTAGAAAAAATGGCTCCTATAATTTTTATAAATTAAATAACTCTTATTTGAAGTAACTATTGGCTACATTAGCTACATTGTGCAGAAAATAAAAACCTTTCAGCGAAGGAAATTTAAATAATCAAAGAAAGAATGCACAAATACGATCTATCTGAAGTTACCTTATTGCCATGCGACGAAAATATTTAACGACATTTTTGTTTTTTCGTAATACTTCGTATTTACGCAATGTTTGCAGTAGATTTGTGATCATATCTTGCTAACTGAGGAACTAATGTGCCTTAAAGCACAGTTGTGCGCTACAATGTTAAAAATTTAAGGGAAGCTACCTTAAGCAATTTTTACAAATTATTTTTGTAAATCAAAAATAGGAGTGGATCCAGATAAGACCCTTGTGGCGCACCACATGTAACCAGGGACGAAACTTGAGGGGTGACACCCCCAAAGTACAAATCATCTGGATTGGCAGGGCAATGAAAGATTTTAAATGATAGAATGTAGAGTTATTAAGTTTCCAGGACTTCCAGAGGGAGTTGAATAGAGTTTATAGACCTAAATTTTATAGATATTGGTAAAAAAAATAAGGGTTTCATGTATGTTTTAACAGGAATTTGTCTGAAAAAAAATTTTTGACCCTTAATTTAATTGGTTTATGTCCGGAAAAATTTATTCGCCCCTTATTTGAATGTCCCCCCGCTCGCCAACATTTTTGGGAGAAATAGTGGCCAAAAAAAGTTTTGCTGCTTGGCATCATCGGCTTTCGCAGGGCAATTCTAGCAGACCCTCCCTCCAATTAAGAGGGGCTAGTTTCGCCCCTGCATGTAACATGCTTTAAGGCAAATTTCCATTGCAATCGCTTTGCCAGCGCAGGCGGAGCAAACATTACTCAACTTTCTCTGTAGTTGCCTGACCTGTGCATTTTTTGTCCGCCTGAATGCTCGCGGACACGCCATGAAAGTAGAACTACCTTCAACTTTCTTGGCGTAACCGGGCTACTGATTTTTCACGTGATTAAAATTGGTCGCTCCGCAATGGAAAATTGCCTTTAATGAAGGTGTAGTATTTAATATAGTATTATGAACTCTATTATTATTAGTGCCGTTATATAATTCTGCAATGGAGATTAACAATGTCACTGATATGATTGCCAGGATATATCAGGCTTCGAATTGTGGTTTCGTTAAAGCTTGTAACAACTGCTCTTTAAGTACATCCCCTTTCGTGCTTTAATGCAAAACGAGAAGTTCGTCAATAAGTTTTCTGCTTCACATAATTATAGAGTTTGCTACCTTTCAGGTTTTCGGAGGCAACCGTGATAGGAATACCATTGTTGGCCATTTTCTTTCTCCCGTCATTGTTACAAAGTATCTCCGCATTCATCCGAAGAAATGGCGCAGGCACATAAGCATGAGGGTTGGTTTCCGTGGTTGCACCAAAGGTAATTATATATCACTGTACTTAAAGAGGTATGACATGCAGTAACAAATTTATTTTCCGTTATAAGTATTTTTAAAAGATATTTTAATGTGGAAACATTTTTACAACTTTTTGAAATCTTGCCTACTTCTTAAATTAGACCAAAATGAAATTAAGTTTTCGACTGACGTCATCATAACTCAATGAGCGACTCACCATCTGCATAGATTAAGTAAGAACAGATGTGCAACTTCAGTAAAAAAGTTGTCCCACGGTCGCCATCTTCCTAGCAAGTGTCGCTCGCGTGACAATTCGTCATTTGGTAATACGTCATTGCTTTCAAAATGCTTTCAACACCTTTTCCACAACTTTAATTGTTTTTAACAACTTTAAACATTCAAAAAATGATGCTCTTGATTGTTTAATCCATAAATTTCGATCCAAGAAAGCCGCAATAAAATGCAAAAGTTCATGTTTTCCAGGACGCCATCTTCCTAGCAAGTGTCATGGCGTGAGCATGACGTGTACATCTAGGGAAATTTAATTTGAGGACACGAATTCCTATTAAGTTACACATCTGGTATATACTTCATCTGTGCCAGCTGGGATATGCTGCTACGTCAGAATCAGGGTCACGCAAGTGCAGTGTCGCCGGAAACGATGTGAAGGCAAGGGGGGCAGATTTTCGTGAAAGGGCACTTTTGAATTGATATATACTAGCACTAGGAGATGTTTGCAAAACATTGGAAGTTGAACTTCGCCTAATCATATTTTATATTCATTGGATGATAGGGGTGTGAGGGGGTTCTCCGCCAGGCGATTGTGCTATTCTTGAAGCTCGATGACTGCATTTCTTACGTTTTCTGAAGCATATTCGTTAATGATTTGCACTAACATTTCTGGCAATTCTCTATTTCGCCAAGGCAATCCTTTAAATTGAAAGGGCACCTTTGCCCCCCTTGCCCCTCCTGGTAAAGGGCAACGGAGGCGACTGCCCCTCCTTCCCCCCAGTTCCGGCGACCCTGCGAAAGTGTTTTACTGAAATAGCGAGTTGTCATTAGGGACTAGCCAGAAATTAGAAGGGTGAACAGGGAGGTTGGAAAACGAGAGGTGCCATAAGATTCCGAGCCCTTGAAGGGGGGATTTATCATAATCATTAATTTCGAATTCATTATTATGATTTTCTGTTTATTTAGAGTGGCCATGTGACAGGCAACCGTGCCGCAATGGTGGTACATGCTTGGACTACCGTGGACGTTATCTGTGTGCTTGTACTAAAGGATGGGCAGGCAAGAACTGTGAACAAAACGTTGGTAAGTTTGATCAGAACAGTTTATATATCCCACTTCCCCAGGATCGCGCGATTAAATGCGATTTTGTACTAATGGTTCCGGACATCAGCGAAGGGCACTTTTGAATTTCAAAATCTGACCGCAAGTTAATCAAGCCGTTGTAGATGGCGACAGTTAGCTGTTTCTTTCTTTAAATCACGAACCAGTGAACCTGCATGGGTTGTTGTTCTTGATCTCAAGCACGACCTGCTGACGCCATAATTAAATTCACGATAGAATTATGTACGCGTGGCGTCTGTGTTGTCAAGAAAGTCTCTGATTCCATTTCTATATCACGCATACTAAAAGCCAGTGCAATGTTTTAGAATAGGTACGTAAGCCTGTAAAAAACTGCAACTTTGAGGTTTTTCACGCCATAATTACTATATAAATTTATCTCATGTCCTATTCTCTATAATTCATGTCTGGATTATGCTTTTAATATTTTTAAAAGATGTTCGTTGATTCCTTTTGTAGAAAACTGCCCGCCAATATTGGTGCTAAACAACGTTGGGAACGGCAAAAAATAAACGTAGCTAGCACAAAATACTGTTTACGTACAACACATATAATCATAACTCAACTGAGGTAACTAAAATAGTTGTTATACAATGTTCAATAAATTTCTCGCTTTGCCTTAAAGTTTATTCAATAAAATGATTTAACATTATTATATTATCCTCAAAGATTATTGCTGTTGAGGTAGAATATCATTTCTTCATAATGAGTTGTATTTGCTATGAAAAGAATCTTTTGACTTTGAAAAAGTATAACCAAATTCGAATAAGGTTTTAATGAAACCTTATATATAATAGAAGTCTAGCTCTTGATTGTGTTGTTGTGTTTTTTCTTGAAACCTGTTATACTTTTGAAAAAGCAATTATACAATAAATTAAATGTCAGAATTACAACCAATATATAACAAGGAGGCAGTAACGGTTTACATCTGTAACGTGAATACACAGCCCTGGTATAAATTATTGATTGTAAATTTACAGAAGTTGTCACATAATTTGCCGGCCCCCTCCCTCTTTTCGCTGCATAAAGAAAGCATCGCTCATTGAACGGAAATACGAAAATTTTGTTGGGAGAAGTTGAAATTGTTTATTCCCGGTATAGGTTTGCATAGTCCTTCTTCTGCGATTTCACCCTAGTTTAAGAAAGGGCTACAAAGCTCTCCGAATTTCATCTTGGCCGTCCCTGGATTTATTGAAATTAGGTGCATATATTTTAGTCAAAGTAATTTTTTTAATCTTTTAAATCTTTTTGTTATTATAAGTACAAGAAATGTCAGGAAGCACCATGCAGGTATCTTGTTTTTATCTGAAAAAAGACTTTGAATTTTTCTCGGTTATGGCGGTTGGTAAAATAATTAGAACAGCACGTATATTAAAACTGATGTATAGTTTATAGTATGCAAGACTACTCAACAATATTTGCTGTGTTGGTGTAATGTACTCAGGTGAGTAAGATGCTTGTGATGTTACTCTGAGTGTATATCCACACCGGACAGGCTTGAAAAATATGCCTGGCCACCGGTGGGAATCCGCAAACCTACGACTTTTGGAATACTAGAGTCTGAACTAAACTCAGTTCCGAAATATCACATACTCGAACCGACTTAATCGCGTTCTTCAGTTGGCATGGCAGAGCATTGGGCTAGTATTCCAAAGGTCGTTGGTTCAATCTCCACCGTGACCAGGCATATTTTTCAAGCTCGCTCGATGTGGTTATACACTCAGAGGAAAATTATTCAACAATAGTTGTCCACGTCTGATATTGCGCTCTGTCTGTGTTTTGGATGTCACTAGACTAATAGTTCAAATGCCTGGTTTATTTTGCTTTAAATGATCCATTGTTGAAAATATTGTTGTATAAAAATGCCATGTACTTGAGAAGTGCTTGGTTGCCATGTACTTCGCCGTCATGGAATCAGGCGTTTAGTTTTTATCGGAGTCATTTTTATCATGACAACATTCGGAACACTTGACATCACGTTCGCAATACACATTTCAGTAATGTTGACGCATGCGCAGACGTCGGCTCTCGTCGCCGGCACAGATGATAGATAATACCAGATGTCTCACTCTGTATATATCCCTATGATTTTCGTATCCGCGATTTTCGCGTGACCACAGAGTAGATACATGTAGAGCTGTAACTGGTCGTCGTAAACACTGCGGAAACTTACGTTTTAATGTACTCAATTTTTTTGAGGCGACTGGGGAAAAAATGATCGACTGCGCGTGCTCGGAAAGTTCCGCGAGCAGTTAAAGCGAGTCGTCATCCAATGAGATACATGCATATAACAACTTGCCGAGCATGCGCACAAAATAGTGGGTCGGGCGCTATAACAAACATACTTGCAGGGAAGTGAGTCCGGGATTGGACGCACCGAGGGTATTTGGAAGTCTCGCGAACTCACCAAGCGAAACAAGATAAAAAAATAGGTACGCACTGCGTACATGTGGCTAGCCTATTCAGCTTTTCGAATACAGCTGGAGTTCACATTGTCATGAACATTCAACACAAACATTCATTCTGATACAAAATTAATAATTACAATAGAAGAATGGTCAAAATAAAACAGATGCAGCATCTTTCTTACAATGCCAACAAATGGCTACAATCACTTGATTTAAAAGCAACATTGGTTGGTAGCAATTGTTCAGCCAACAATATTATTGAGTCACACTAGTACTTTAATAAATGTTTTGCTAAAATAATAAGCATATACAGCAACTATAAATGATGTCAATTTTATTGTTTTTCAAAATTTCACTAATATGTAATTCACTAAGATTTCATTACATTGGGTTTCTTGTTACAAATATATTTTGGTGTCTGGTTTACAAGTTATTAGCTTTTCTTGAATTACTGGCATAGCAGATTTCATAAAACATTTAAATTCAAAGTTCTTCATTATATTAAATATAATATTTAATACTACATTTCTAAACATTTTTTATTTATTGTAAAATCTAACAGCATCGGAATTTATAATGAACTCATCAAATCAATTATGTCATTACCACTAAGATTTTTGTCTGATAGTTGTATTGCCCTGATACTTGCACAAATATTCTGATCTTCCTATATTATCCAATATTATTACCAGTCACCATATTATCAGCAAATTGACCAGAATATGTGTTCGCTTAGTTGTTTGAAGTTGTAGATGCCATGCATCACTATAATTTTGAATTGTGCTTTTATCTGCAAATTGTTTAAAAGTATTAAATGGATTAAACAACATTTAACTGTAGCTATAAAAGTATGAACATGCTACTCAATTGACACTGCTGTTATTAAATGCTGAAAAGAAAAGTTGAAACTTGTCGATATGACCTCATCACATTATAGCTGTGGGTTTGCTTCTTCACAAGCTTTTCAGGAATGTAGCGAAGCGTCTGAAGTTTGGGAGGGGGGGGGGGTGTCGGATGTCAAATGGTCATCATTTCACAAATATAACAACTTTTTTTACACAAATTTTACCTCAAATGTCAAAATTTACACTATACTTCAATTTTACCTGAGTTTCACAGTTGCGGGGTGTAAACCCCACACACACCCACACCCCTGTCTCTACGTCCCTACTGATATTACATCAGTTATATATTTACATCTGGACTAGGTATCCAAAAAAATACTGCACCTATTGTATTTCCTGGTTTAATAGGTCTAATGAATGTAAAATAATACATTTTCACTCAATTACTTCCATCTAGAAGATCCTTCAACTGTATGTAAACAGACTGCATGAGCTTCCACGCTAGTGACTACTATAGACTATATTAATATAAAATAGTCCAGCCTGTTTTCTGTGTTAATTGTAGTTTTGTACCTGCTAGTGGATAGGGCCAGTTGTAGTGTTGTTGTAAAATATGCCAACAATGGACTTGCTTCTTATATAATTTACCCACATAATGGTATATTAAAGTGCAAGATTTGTGCAAGAACCTTCTATTATAAATAGGATTGTAAACTCACTATCAAGCTTTATATGAAGCGTGATCAAAATCTCTTTGACCAGAAGCAGAGTCCAGAGCAGACATGAATTAGCAATGATATTGACATATTCACAAATTGTAAACATAAAATATATGGATTGAAATAACAAAAATTAACTTACCGTTTCTGTGAAAAATTCATTCGAGTATTTCTACGAGAGTTGCCAACTGTATAAATTTTGCTGAGTGAGCCATATATCTGCCACTTTAAAGTCGTTACTCGTTAATACCAGGTTAATACGATCACAGTATCCTTAAGGATACGATATCTTTTCTGTGGCATTTAATATCATCGCCTCGTGCCATCAACGACAGTTTCCGAAGCCAGTCGACAAGTTCCGTCACAACTTCACAACTCTTACAGTTTTAGCGTGCACGGGCTAGCCACAAAAATGATACTTATAAAACAATTAATTAATTTTTAATTAATATTTTCGTTTGAAATTCGTGCAAACGCTTCATAATGGCCGCCCCCGAAACATCGATCTCGAACCCCCTCCTAAACATACGTCAGCAGGTGGGTTCTATAACAGACATACTTGCAGGGAGGTGAGTCCGGGATTGGACGCACCGAGGGTGGCTGGAAGTTTCCCGAGCGAAGCGAGGTGAGTTCGGGAAACTTCCAGCCACCCGAGGTGCGTCCAATCCCGGACTCACCGAACCTGCAAGTAGTTTGGTTTTTATCACACGCCATTTCGGTAAAAAGTACTAAAGAATTTACGCATTTTAGTATACAATTTCTTGTTTGGATAACGAACATTTTAGCCGCCAACATATAGTCAAAGAAACAAAGTAAGCAAAGAAACAAACTAAGGCTTAAATTGAAGATAAAACTATTTTCTACAACATTCCCTTATTCTTGAAAAGAGAAAATGCACGAATTCTGCGAAAACAATGCCAAGATCAATTTATATAAACCTGTCCGTGCCGAACAAATTTTGGGGCCATCTTTCTTCTCTTCCACTTTGAATACCGAATATTCCATTTTTATCAAACGAAATAAAAATATAATAATTATAAACAATTAAAAACAGTTAAATCTGGGCTGGGGCCCAAGGCTGGGGCCTTGATCATCATAAATGCCATGTTGTTCTTGCCAGTAATGTTGCTGAGTTGGCAGTTTAGTGATGGACTGTTTGTACCAAATTTGTATTTAAATCCAGCACATGTTGGCTCATTACCACAATTAAATGAACAGTCGATTTCAGAAGGAACACTGTGGTTGGATATAATATCTTGCCATGCCAAAGCTGGAACTATTAAAATAATTATAGCAGTCATAGTAGTCATGATCAGTCAGTTAATGAACAAGCCATTACCAATGCAAAATGTTTCAATCAACCAACAACCACCTAAGCGGCCATTCAACGAGTGAACCAGCAGTTACACAACATCTCGTCAAACCAACAAGCGTGAGGCTTTTCCACAAATTGCTAATAAAACTTATTTAACCATTTAGAAAATACGAGCAATTACACGTTGATATTATTATTATTATTCTGTTGAATAATTATGTTGTTATTTATTTAAAACAATTCATATTTAGTTTTTGATGGGATAACAGCCAAATGTGAAATCGTCATATCAATATATATATATAGGCAGCTATCAAAATATGTGGTTCTGATATAATATTAAACAGAGTGACGCAAACCGATTGAGGTAAAGTCTTTTTCAAGGTTGAGGATCTAGGTACTGGATACACTAAAGAGTCGAAAGCATACCTTTTTATGATCTTTCCTAAAAAAGCTTCTGCGAATGTTTATTGGCTGTCAGCAGTCCAAG